GGGAGCTTCCCAACCCCCTGTTGGACCCTGCTCTGTGCGAGACGAGGGGGGAGCTCCTCAACCCCCTGATCGGCCCTGCTCTGTGTGTGACAGGGGGCAGCGCCCCAACCCCCTGATCCGCCCTGCTCTGTATGTGACAGGGGGCAGTGCCCCAACTCCCTTATTGGCCCTACTCTGTGAGTGACAGGGGGGAGCTCCTCAACGCCCTGATCAGCCCTGCTCTGTGCATGACAGGGGGGAGCTCCTCAACCCCCTGATCGGCCCTGCTCTGTGTGTGACAGGGTACGGAGCCCCAACCCCCCTGATGGGCCCTGCTCTGTGCATGACAGGGGGCAATGCCCCAACCCCCTGATCGGCCCTGCTCTGTGCGTGACAGGGGGTGGCACCGCAACTTCCCTATCGACCCTGCCTTGAGTGTGACAGGGGGCGGTGCCCCAACCCCCCAATCGGCTGTGCCCTGAGCGTGACTGAGGGTGGCATCGCAACCTCCTGATCCACCCTGCTCTGTGCATGACAGGGGGCGGCGCCCCAACTCCCCAATCGGCCCTGCTCTGAGCCCAACCAGGGGCTGCACCTAGGGATTGGGCCTGCCCTCTGCCACCCGGGGAGCAGGCCTAAGCCAGCAGGTTGTTATCTCCCGAGGAGTCCCAGACTGCGAGAGGGCACAGGCCGGGCTGAGGGACACCCCCTCCCCCCCCCGAGTGCACAAATTTTTGTGCACCGGGTCTCTAGTATATATATATAAAAGCCTAAGCAACTGTTACTACCAGAATGACCCGTCGACCAGTTGCTATTACACACACTGTCCACCAGAGGGAAGATGTTCAACTCAGGAGCTGCCTCCTGGTGGTCAGTGTGCTCCCACAGCCAACCTCCCACAGCCAGCCAACCTCCCCTGGTTCCTTACCCGGCTGGCAAACCTTTTGCACTCCTTCTCCGTTCTTCCCCACCCCCAACACCCCCCACCCCAGCCCAGCAGGCTTCGTCCGGCAGCCCCCTACCGGCAGCCGGCAGCAGGCCCCCAGACCCCAGCCAGCAGCCAGCAGGCCCTGACTGGCCTGGCCCCAATTGGGACGGGGCGAGACAGCCCTGATAGGCTCTGATCGCCCGCCAGGCCTAGGGACCCCACTCGTGCACAAATGATGTGCACTGGGTCTCTAGTGTTTAATAAAAGGGAAAGACCACTATACTAAATAATCTTTAAGTTTTCTAAGCTCTAAATTTCAAGGGTTACAGGCAGTTACTGCAATATTTTGATAGAAATCTTGAAGTATTTCTAATTCCTTTCCTAAATTATTTTTATTTAAATTGTTTTAAAAATGTTTTATAGGTGTGGAATATCAAACAAATGATTAAGTTGACACAGGAACATATAGAGGCGCTATTGGACAAATTTGGTGGGGAGCATAATCCACCATCAATATATCTGGAGGTAAGCTTTTGAGTATTATATTTGTAGTAATTTTGAAAAGAAAAATAGTGCATGTATAAAAAGCATTTGTACTGATAATATTGGTTATCTTAGGTGGTTGGATTAGAAATAATGGGAAAAGAGAATTAGTTTTGTCTTAGCTTCTTAATCTTGTTTCACTTGTTACAATAAATATGTAGTATTTTGTAATTTGGAGAATGTCAAAATTAATAAAAAGTTGTATATGAACTCCAAAATTTTATTCTGTTAAAAAAAAAAGTTTAAAAAAAGAAAGAAGATGATTCTGGAGGTCAGCAAAGTAGTTGCCATGTTTAAAAATGGGGAGAATTTTGTAAAATATCTTTTTTCCAGAACAGATCTCCCCCAAATTGGTTTTTGCTTTCTTATAGGTAAAATGTATAATGTTTAAATATTAAATAGCTCAAAATTGCTTAGCTTTACTGTTTAATAGTGCCTTGAGGCTTTTGTATCAAGCCCTGAGTATCATTGTAAATTTATTGAGTTAGTCATTCTTCTTAATCCAATGAGGTAGTAGTTACTATTCTAATCACAGATAAGCTTTCTTGGCATTAGTTTCCTTAGGTAAGTCACTCAGATTCCACAGCCAGCAAGCTGTTATGGAATCTAGGCAGTCAGGCTCCACAGCCGGTTCTGCTTACCACTACACTATTCTGCCTGTCCCTGTAAAAGCTGGCTCCACAGTAATTACTAGCCGTACAGGGATATAACCCTAAATGACAAATGATCAGGTTACCATTTGCCGGCAAGTGCCAGAGATTTTTAGGCATGGATCAACGGACTCCTAAACTAAATTTCTAATTTAGTAATCTAATCTAATTACTTTTTAAAGAGCAAGTTAAATCTCCAGTATTTAATGAGAAAGTTTGCATTTCTAAAATAAATTTGGGAGTTTGGAAATAACTGCTAATATACTGTTCTTTTCATATGGCTTATCCCAGAGCACACTGCCAGGTAATATTAGTGCTAGGAGTAGAATTCATACCTCTGAATGCTATCTGTTTTAATTGTATGTCTGAGGAGGACAAGAAAGGAGTCATAAGGCGGCATATAGTCCTGGGGAAAATAGTAATTCTTTGTTAATCAGAATTAGACAACTTTAACCAGCAGTTTTTTTCTGCCCACCCTTTCTCTGTCTTGGGAGACATATACAGTAGGTCCTTGGGTTACATTGGAGATCCGTTCCTATGGGGCATCGTAACGTGATTTTTGCCATAAGTTGGAACCCACCAACATAAGCACCTACATCACTCACATGGAGCCCATACACAACAGTAATGAAGTGAAACAGTAAAAAAAATTTAAGAGAAAGCTAACAATTCCTGACCTTTACTTGTGGTAAATAAATAATAAAAAACATAAAGCACATATGTACATACGTCAAAATGATGGACCTTTTTTTTTTTTTTTATAAATACTGCAAATGGGAGATGGTGACATAACCACGAAACGACATACGTCGAGTCCGACGTAACTCAATGACTGCTTGTATATATAAAAGGCTAATATGCTTAAATGTCCATCTGACCAGTAGCTATGACGTGCACTGCCCACCAGGGGGCAGACGCTCAATGCAGGAGCTGCCAAGCTGCAATGACTTGGCTGCGGTGGTTTTCGGGTGACACACCCCGAAACCAGAGAGGAGGGAGCCTGATTCCTCGTGGGGCCATGCAATTCCACCTTTGGCCGTGGGTTATGTTGTTTCTGGGGCACTGTCGGCCCCGAATCTGGTTTACTGCACACTTGTGTTTGCATTCCAAACCCTGTACGACAGCAATTTTGCAGAGTGCCCTCTCACACTCCGGGACCCCTCGGAGGATGTCAGAGAGCTGATTTCGGCCCGATCCCTGCAGGCCAGGCCGAGGGACCCCACTCATTCCCCAGATGCCCTTTGCGCCACGGCACACCCCATGTGCGGCCAGCCAGGGAGAGACCTCGGGAGGTTGGCTCCAGGGCGTGTCCAACCCATCTCACCCAGTCCCGCCCCACCGGCCACCTTCTAATTAATTTCCTTTCGATGTGCATGAATCCGTGCACTGGGTCACTAGTAAACATATAAATTAGTTAAAACATTGAACTTACTACCATTTGATATGTTATGAAGAGAGGAGCCTGGTTGGAGATGACAGTATTCTTCCAGAGGAAAGTTGTCTCAGGGAAAAGACCTATGGGTACTGATATTTGAAGGCCCTTTAGTGAAAAACCAGGTCTACTGATTACCCACTGAGACCCACCATTATATCCTTTCTGTCTCTATGAATTTGACTACACTAGGAACCTCATATAAAGTGGAATTATAAAATATTTGTTCCTTTGTGACTAGCTTATTTCACTTACCATAATGTCTTCCAGGTTCATTCATGTTTATTATGTGCAAAATTTTTTTTCTATTTAACATTGAATAATATTCTATTGTATGTATACAGGGTGAAGCTATATCTTGTGGTTTTGATTTGCATTTCCCTGATAACTAATGATGTTGAGCATCTCTTCCTGTGGTTATTGGCCATTTGTATTTTTTTCTGTGGAGAAACGCCTATTCAAATCTTTGCGCATTTTTTTAATTGGGTTGTTTGTGTTGTTGAGTTGTAGGAGTTCTGTATATATTCTGAATATATGTCCTGAATATCAATCCTAATCAGATAGATAATTTGCAAATATTTTCTTCCATTCTGTGGGTTCCCCCTTCACTCTGTTGATAGTGTCCTTTGATACTCAAAAGTTTTTGTTTTGTTTTTTTAATGAATCTAACATCTGTTTTTCCTCTTGTTGCCTATGCCTTTGGTGTCATCCAAGAAAACATTGCCAAATTCAATGTCCCTTTGTTTTCTTCTAGGAGTTTTATAGTTTTAGTTCTTATGTTTAGGTCTTTGATCCATTTTGAGTTAATTTGTATTTGTGATGTAAGGTAAGGGTCCAGCTTTTGCATTTCGTATCCAGTTTTCCCGTATCACTTGTTGAAAGTCCTTTCTCATTGAATGGAAATTTTGATAAATGCGCTTGTCAAGACATTTTACCATATATGTGAGAATTTATTTCTGGGCTCTCTACTCCATTGGTCTATATGTCTGACTTTATGCCAGTACCACACTGATTTGATTACTATAGTAAAAGCTAAGTTTTGACATCAGGAAATATGACACCTCTAACTTTGTTCTTTCTCAAGATTGTTTTGGCTGTTTGGGATACCTTGAAATTCCATATGAATTTTAGGATGGATTTTTCTATTTCTGCAAACACACTGGGATTTTGATAGGGATTGCATGAATCTATAGATTGCTTTAGATAGTATTGACATCTTGAGTCTTTTTTTTTTAAAGTATGTTTTTATTGATTTCAGAGAGAGGAAGGGAGATAAAAACATCGATGAGAGAGAAACATCGATGGGCTGCCTCCTGCATACTCCCCACCGGGGATTGAACCCACAACCCGAGCATGTGCCCTGACCAGGAATTGAACCGGCAACCCCTTGATTCATAGGTCAACACTCAACCACTGAGCCACACCAGCTGGCAAGAGTCTTTAACTCTTAAATATGAATGGATATCTAAGAATAAACAGAAATGTGAAGAAAGCTTTTTAACAGAAATATAACAACAGAAATGGTGAAAATATGTGCAGAGAGCAAAAGAAAATTATAATTAACATCAGAGATATGAGAAGACATACTAATCTGTGTTCTTGTTTCATGGCTGTACTAAAGAAGCAAAAGTAGCCCTGGCCAATGTGGCTTGGTTGGTTGGAGCACCATCCCATGCACCAAAAGTTCTCAGGTTTGATTGCCTATCAGGGCATATAACCTAGGTTGCAGGTTCACTCCCAGGAACAGGGCACATACAAGAGGCAACCGATATCTATCTACCTATCTCCCTCCCTACTTCCCCCCCTCCTTCCCTCCTTCCTTTCCCCCTTTCCCTCCCTTCTCTCTAAAATAAAAATAGGAAAAAAACCACACACACAAGAAAACATATCCTTGGGTAAGGATTTTTAAAAAGCAGCAAAAGTAACAGAAAATCAATTGACCATAAATGCAAGGCTTTATTTCTGGACTCTTTAATTCTGTTGTGTTGTTCTATATGTGTATCCTTACTCCAGTACTACATTGGCTTTGATCTTCAGAGTAAATTTGAAGGTGTTGCTATTTTCTAAGTGAATTAAAAGTGGGAGGCAGGGATGAAGTGAGGAGCCAGAGAAGCATGGGAAAGGTTGGAATAAGTATTGGGAAGAATTTAATAGGATGTTAAAAATAAGTAACATTTTTCAGGGCAATAGTATTGCAGGACTAAGTTCCGTGATTTGATAATGGAACTAATTGGCCTAGTTTCATTAATTTTTCCCAATCAATATGTAGTAACCCTGAGAAGGAAGAATGGAATAATTGAGTGGTAGATTTACTCAAGATTAGTATTTAACAAGCAAGTTAGTAAAACAATGAGAATTAGCCAAAGACTCTCTAAGATGTTACCAGTGGCATTGTTGAAATGAGTCACTATTACTTAAAAGAAGTAAGACAACAAAGACCAAATCTGAGAAACTTTAAGGGATTAATATTGACCATGAACACATTAATGTGGTAGTGAGATGGAAGCTTAAAAAGGTGGAATAAGTGTGTGTGCATAGTGGTATGGGAGGTTATAAACTGAGATCTTGACATCATTTGGAACTCTCGTAAAGAATGATATAGTATAGTTCTGGATCTTGAAGGTAATGTGGAAATAAATGCCTTTACAGATTCAAGGTATAAAGAACTTTAAGGCAAGAGTACTAGGTGTACTGGTAAATAATGGCGGATTTTATAATCAAAGAAAACACAATAATTTCAAGAGAAACATCAAAAGTGTTTTATTCAAAGTAATGTCCATCGCTAGCTACACATTTCCCCCATCTTTCAGGTAATTTGTGGATACCGTCCCAGTAGAACTTTTCTTGTTTTGAGGCAAACCATTCAGAAACCCAATTTTCCACTTCTTCGTATGTTTTGA